GGCCTCTCAGAGTTGGTAAGGCAACTCCCACCTGTTCATGCTCTCTGTATGTGTGTATATATATCTCCTCAATATATGTTCCATTCTATATGCATCCGAAGAAGTGGGCTGTAGTCCACGAAAGCTTATGCTCTAATAAATTTGTTAGTTTCTAAGGTGCCACAAGTACTCCTGTTCTTCTTTTTGCGGATACAGACTAACATGGCTGCTACTCTGAAATACTCTTATGGTAGCTGTAAAGTTTAGAAACTATTTCCAAGGAAGGAAGCTTGTTTTCTGAAACAAAAGCAAAACGTATACCAAGTTTGAAAAGCCTAGAGCTAAGACTTACTGCCAACATAGAACTTGAAAGTGGGGGGAAGGGAAAATTAGGGCAGAAGAGAGCATGTTTCCTAAGGTATATCAACACTATGGGGACTGTACCGGCATAGCAACATCACTATAGCTATGCTGACATAATGCCATAGTATAAACCAGCCTGCACCAATGGAAGAGGGTTTTCCTGTCACCACTTCCCTGAACAACAGAAGCTGAGTCGATGGAAGCATTTTTCCATTGACATAACTGCATCTACATTGGGCATTAGGTGAGCATACCTACAGCTTTCAGGGATGTGGCTCTCATTACCGCCAATCGACTTTTTAAGTGTAGATCAAGCCGTAATTATGCTTTGAATGTCTCAATGGATTGCCCTCCCAATTAATCTCAAGTCATGCGACTGGCATGGTCTGCAAATGGCTGAAAAGTGGTGCTGTCAGTACCGATGGTGTCCACATGGCCTACAGGCATTGATTCTGTACTTGCTGGATCTCCGTATTCTGGATATCACCCAAAAGAGAATTTTAATGTCATTATCCAGTATTCTAGAAGTTTTCACAACTAAAAAGGGGAATTTCAACAGCACGCTAGCCGTTTATAGTGATCTCTAGCTCTCCTTGGTGCGAGCGATTATTGGCTTTGACCTTTGTCCTCTCCTTCACCGAATCAATTGTTCAGACAGTGGGTGATGCCGAACCACTACTGATTTCTCCTTAGGTTGGCATCTACTCATATATTGCTGTGGATCCAGTGTTACTAAATGGCATATGTACTTAACTGCTAAACTAGACTTCTGACCTGCCACGATTCACACTTACTACACATAGAACTCTTTATCCAAACTGTCACTTGTTAAAAACCTAGTAGCTTGTGGGACAAATATAAGTTTGATAGTATCAACCAGCCATAGGACATGCCATTAAAAAGAGAATCTTTGCTAAACAACGGGATACAATCATTTTATTTCAGGTTTCAGAGTAGCAGCCATGTTAGTCTGTATCCGCAAAAAGAACAGGAGTACTTGTGGCACCTTAGAATTTGTTAATCATTTTATTCTGACCATTACCTACATTTGTGGCAGTCCATTTGCTCCCTCGCTAGAAGCAGTTCAGGTTTTCTATTAGCTCATTTGTGCCATTTTCTTTCTTCCTCCTGCCTGGTTTTGTTTTTATGATTCTCCTCACTGCTGCTCAATGTGCAGCTTCAGACTTACAATGCAGAGCAAGCCTTTCAGGCAGCCAGCCTGGAGTGAATGAACTTTCAGAAGTTTGTTTGTCAGCATTCAACAGAAGGGCAAAGGGTTTACATTGGAATGCATGTGCTGAAGTGGGGCTACAGTAACTTACTTATTCTAGGGCGTTTATGCGTAGGAGTAAGCTTTCTCGGTCAGAGTAGGATGCTTTAAAGAAGAAAACGATGGGCAATACAGAGCTGAGAGTTAATCACTTCTTCCTTACTACAGCTTTCCTTATTTTGACAATATATCACTTCTGTTCTGTATGGTAGGCAGACATGGTGCTGATTTTAATGAATGCAAACTAGGTTGAAGTGGCAATATTTGCTAGTTTGATATATTCCAAATGTTGCAAAATGTTAACTTGATCATGTTCAGGGCTCTGTATAAATAGCGTATCTATAGGTGGTGTCTATAGCCTATACAGTTTTAAATCCCAATCTTAGTGTCTACTTTATTGATATATTGTGCCATTGTTGCTAATACCACAATATCCTGATACAATACAACCATCTTGCAGCCTTTAATAGATCCATAGTCTAGCCATTAACCACCCACCTGACAAGATCCATTCCCAGCAGGGCTTCAGTTTCAGAAGCTGGCTCTCTGGTGGTGATGGCTTCATTAGCGATGCAGACTCCATGTTCATTGGCTCCCATTTCTGCCCCCCAAAGCCAAGCAGGTCTGCTTAGCATAATAGCATGAGTCTTCGGCACTTGATCAATTGCAATGTATGTACACTGCATTGGGGGAAAGAGAATGCTGAACGAAACTGAAAGCTAGCCATTATCTTGCTCCACTAGAGTACATTATTTTCTTATATACTGAAATCTAGTCAAGGAGATTTTAGTAGATTACATTTCCATACCCACAAATTATAAAACACATGGTATTTCTAGGCTTCACAAAAAATGGGGGAGGGGGAGCGAGAGAAGGGCTATTACAATTATCACACAATTTGTATGTCACTTGGGAAAAAAACACAACTAATCTTCACATTATAGAAAGGATGAAACATTTTAATATTCCATGTTGATAGTACCAGACCGCCAAAAGATTATACATATCATGAGAGACCAGCTGAGCTGGAGACAGAACTCATACAGCAGCAATACAGATACCATACCTGTCAAAACATAAGGGACACAAACCACATTTTGTAGGTAGTAATACTGTTTATAAAGATGGAATGCATATACTCATGGCTAATCTGGACCTTCACCTGGATACAACATTAGGTGCCTTATGAAACATTTACTCCATTGCTGCAACAAAACAGAATAAGCTAAAGGACCTCCAGAGAAAATACCAACCATATCCATTTAAATTTGCTGGTTGTGTATATGTGGGAGAAATAAAGACTGTAAGAGTTTATCAGAACACAATGGTAGTGGTCACAGGAAAGTAACGTCTACACTGATTTGCCTGAATTTAAGTTTTTGCAGTGGACCATTTAAAATTACAAATCAGAAGTCTATGGATATGTTCAGACAAGAAGAGGGGAAAAAAACCCAAGAGTGCATCTTTGAAAAGCTAAGCAAGAGAATAATCCATCAGTTTTCCTTTACAAACACATTTTATTTTACTCTGTAGTTTGAACATCTCCCTAGCATTTAAAGATGGAAATGGTCTTCCCAAACTGTAGAAGAAAAAGCCTGATTTATTGTTAGGTTATTTGCACATATGGGGGGGAGGGGGGAAGGTCTTTTAATAAAAAGTCAACAGGAAATAAAAAAGTGAGGGGAAATGAAGGTGAAGAAATGTTTTTATTTTAGTTTTGAATGCAATTAGTACTGTGGTCACATTTTTTTTCAGGAATACATTCCACAGTCTAGATCCTACTCTCGTGAAAACCTTGTCTTCTGTACTCATAAGTCTCCCCTTACTGGTCAACATTCCTGTGTAAGGTCATTCTGGGAGGTCATCCTGCTGGAGAGAGGTGACTGGTCATCAGCTATATTAAGTGTTGCAGCAGCCTCCAGCAGGAGGAGTACTGATATATTTCCCCCATCTATGGGGAAAAAGGTCATTCACCATAGCAACATGTATTGTCTCTGTACCACGTTCTGAAGTCCGAGGGTACAGCGGCATGTAGTGTACAGACCCTTGCACACCCAGTTAGCATGGGTATAAATAGCAATATAGATAGTGAGGCATGCCTTAAGCAAGTATAATGCCCTACATGCCTGAATCCTAGGGTATGTACCCCACACAACTCTCTACATGCCCATGCAATGCCTTCAGTGTCTACAGTGCTATTTTTAAGCAATGTAGTGTCCTGCTTTCTCCATTGCAGTGAAAGGCTCCTGCAGCAGGGAAAGGCTCTGCGGTGGGGAGACAGCAGAGAAAGTCTCACTGCCGGAATCCTTCCCCGCTACCTCTGCCTGCCTGAGCCTTTCACTGCCGCATGTAGCTACAGGTCACAGTGGACACAGCCTGCCTTTCACTGTGGCATGTAGCTGCACATGTAGTGCCTGTACTCTACATGACGATGCTAGTGTGGACAAGGCAAGTTACTGCCAATCAAAAGGTGGTGTTACAGGGTTTTCTTGCTAGCTTCTCAATTAACTTGTTTAGAAAATAAAGATTAGACGCTGGGTGGTAGCTTTAGGTCTCTGCCTTTGAGCAATTTCTTCTTTTTGTATTGGTTGGCCAATTATATGTTTTAGGATGACTCGTAGATTCCCTCATCAGAAGTGTGACATTGTTAGTAGAGGTCCCAGGCATTCTCTACTCTCACCAACCAGGAAGAGCCTGGATCAGTCACATGCAGTGATCCTGACTGTTCTCAATGCTTCCACAACTACTAGTTGTGCAAATGGGCTAACCTGTTGGGAGTTAAGCATTGTGTTTCTGGTCCTGCTCTCATCTTGTTCTTCTTGGAGGCCTATGAAGACAGGGAGATGATTTCCTCTGTAAAATAAGAACTTCTTAAAGCAGGAGATGCCGTGCTTTGAAGTTATGTGGAGGCTGCCTGGGTTTAGAAAACTACAGTCTGCAGAAGTACTGCAGGGCGTGACTCCGCAGCCTCTGACAAAGGAGAGAGAGGCTCCCCTTGCATCCCTTTTCACAATTGTATAGGTTCCTGTATTTATTGTTCCTGCCACAGATTCTCTAGTTTTATTCCTTCCAGCTTCATGGGCCATAGGTTGTCTCAAAACTATAACAATCTGTGGGATTGTGATGCATGGCTAGAAAGGGTTAAACATCCTGCAAAATAAATAACCCTCAAAAGACAGGTGGAGAAATAATGTTTGTGTTTTTGTGTATATACATATATATGAGTAGGGTCACAATGTAATCAACAGTCCCTGTCTATGCTGTATTCTGATAATTCAGAGGCCAAAAGAACATCCTATCATTTAAATGAATTGTAAATATGGGATATCTCGGTATTCATCTCTTTGAAATGTACTGTGAATGGTGGAGGAACAAGCAAATGGCCTTATGTTAATTTGTATAGCTAAGTACTGGTGATGGACCTCCTTCAAAGTCATCCTAATTACCTTTTGTTTCCCGAGGAAATTCCAACTTGTCAAAAGACATGAAATTGTATAAAAGATCATTGGGTCCTGATTCTGTCATCTCAGATCTGCTTAGGCTTCATCAGAGGAAGTTTGAGTCACAAGACTGAGGTCCCAGTTATGCTAGTACACCCTGAATATAAGATTTGGACATTGGTCTATAACCTATGAACTATTTCTGAAACAACTACAAAGCTCACCATCTCTCTGCTATGAATCTGAACCTCAATGAATTGAACTCATGTCTGTATGTATACTGATCTTTATCTTTAACTACTTCTCTCTCTCTCTCTCTCTCTCTCTCTCTCTCTCTCTCTCTCATTTTTTTTAATACATTTTAGTTTAGTTAATAAGAATTGGCTGTAGTGTGTATTTGGGTAAGATCTGGAATATTCAATAACTTGGGAGGTGCCACCAGACTCCTCATTGTTTTTCTGGGAGGTAATGTATACAATCCTTTGGGATTGGTACAACTTTTTCTTTTATATGATGAAATGAGATTTTCAGAAATCATCATATCTGACTTGGGTACCTCGATGGAGGCCTGAGGCTGCATCACTTTAAGGGAACTGTGTTGTTCGGACTTCTGAGTAACCAGTGAGATAATAAAGAAGTTGTTTTATGCTGGCTTGGTAAATCTAAGTATTGGAATATCCACCAGTTTTATGGGCATTGTCTGCCCCATTCTTTGCAGTTCATCCTAATTGAGTGACCACAGCTGGCTCCCCACTAGGACCCCGGTCACAGGGATCAAAGGGGGAAACCTTCACTGCTAAAGTGTCAATAGTTGTATGGAAGAGGGAACTCATGTGCATGGTTGCCAACGTGAAGCTTTGATTTTTGCCTTGCACAAATAGATGGAGTCACCTCACCATCTGCAGCATTCCCCTGTATTTCCCTATACTTAGGAAAGGAAATATCTTAAATACTGAAGATACCAACGTAAAGTTAGAGCTTGTCTAAACAAACACTTAGTTTGTAGCAAGCTGGGAGTGCATGGCAAGTTCACATTAGTGTCCATTTGGAGCACTAACAGTTCCATAGTGCATTTTGATGTACTTTTGCTTTAAAGTTACTCACACACCAGCCTGCCATGAAGTCTTCATTTAGATAAGCCCTTCTCTATCTCAACTGCTAAATGGCTTTTGTAGGGATAAAAAAAAAATCTCCCATTTACTGGACTGCAGCATCTTCTTTCAGACACTAAGAAGGTATGACGTTCCATACTACTATGAGTACATTCTATTCTTGTTAAGTACACAACTTGGGTTAACATAAAAGGGAGTTGTGCCCATCAGGACAGAATTACAGCTGGGCTAACTTATATTTAAACTTGGCCCTTTTGTTTGAGCTGTGTGACAACAGATCAGGATTTCTACAAATGTGTTTTGTATTTAAATATTTTGTGCAAACATTGCAGGCTATAGAATGCTCATGAACTGTTTGCTGCACATATTCAATATTAATTCACAATTAACTACACTGGTCACCTAAGTGACATGGTATTATTTCTGTTCCCTGACTGGATGATCATAACTTCTATATTTAGGCATTCATCGTGTTTAATTTATTGGGGGCTTTGATTTTCTTGGGGAGAGGAGGAGAGCACTTAGAGAGAGGTAGATGGAGAGAGCCAGGTCTAGGGAGTTTTAAACTTTTTCCTTTTCCACAAAAGCATCATGTTCTGATTACATACACTTACACCCCACCCCATAAGTCAAAAATGCCTGGGGTTCCCTCCCAAATCTGAGGATGTATGGAAAATAAAAACCACTGGAAACAAGACCGATTGCTGCTCATTGAGGCAATTCATTGTCACGTTCACATAGTAGTAGCAGTTAAAGCACATTCCTTCCACTCTTGTTGCAAGGATGCAGTACATTCTACAAGAAATGCATCTGCTGAGCTGTGAAAACACCTGGAGGCATCTCTGTTTTAATCTCTCAATTCTGAAAAGGTCTCATTCCATAACAGAGAATTCATTGAGCACAGTGGGAGCTAGTAAAGTAGCAAACCAATAAAATGCTGCCACTTCATTCTATACCGATTTTTTTTTTCATATTCTCTGAATTGTCTACATGCATTGAAGACAGTCTGTATTTTTACACAGAAATTCTGTGCAATTTCAGCTTCTATATTTTAATCCAAGTTAAAATAACTTTTGTGCTTGCGTAATTTGCTTGGATTTCAACTAGGGCTGTCGATTAGTTGCAGTTAACTCATGTGATTAACTCAAAATGAATCACAATTAAAAAATAATCGCAATTAATCGCAATTTTAATCGCATTGTTAAACAATAGAATACCAATTGCAATTTATTAAATAGTTTGGATGTTTTTCTACATTTTCATATATATTGTATTCTGTATTGTAACTGAAATCAAATAGTTGCACTGTAAAAATATAAACAAAAGAAATAGTATTTTTCAATTCACCTCATACAAGTACTGTAGTGCAATCTCTTTGTCATGAAAGTACAACTTACAAATGTAGATTTTTTGTTGTTGTTACATAACTGCATTCAAAAACAAAACAATGTAAAACTTCAGGAATAAGTGGATTTGCAGGATCTAAAATTGTATATTGTTTTATTTTTGAATGCAGTTTTTTGTACATAATTCTATATTTGTAAGTTCAACTTTCATGATAAAGAGTTTGCACTACAGTACTTGTATTAGGTGAATTGAAAAATACTATTTCTTTTGTTTTTTTACAGTGCAAATATTTGTAATTAAAAATAAATATAAAGTGAGCACTGTACACTTTGTATTTTGTGTTGTAATTGAAATCAATACATTTGAAGATGTAAAAAACATCCAAAATATTATTTTTTTCAATCGTGCGATTAATTTTTTCAGTCTAGAACACACAAAAAGAAGAGGGTGTTCTTAAAATGGCCTGAATTAGCTTTTCTTCCCCTGTATTAGTGGGAAGAAGGTAACAGTAGTGGAAAAATGGGGTGAGATGGGCAGGAAGAAAGAAAGCTGGGTTTCTAGTCATGCTGGCTGCTCTAAAAATGCCAACTTCATGACAGGAGCAGCATTGCAGGAACTTATTCCCATATACTTTCCCTTCTGGTTCTCCATACTAGCCTGGGTGTGTGGCCTCTCCCCCAGTCACTGTTGCCATCTCTTGGAATATTTGGTGTTTTTTCTTAAAGCCCCAGCTCCTGGAGCCATGTGCTTGTGAGAACCTCAGCTTCCATTTTAAAACAGAGCACATTTCTGGTCCTCTTGGTTAAAGCTTAACAACGTGAACTCTACAGCCTCAGAAACCAGAACGCAAATAACTTTAAAAAAAAAACACGATTGAAGCTAATTGTGATTTGGGGGAGGGGGGTGCTGAGCCGTGGTGGAGCTGCCTCATGATTTTTGAATGCGGTTGGCCTTACTCTCATTGTATGCACCATTCATAGAAAACTGGCACATAAGTCACTACAATGTAGCTAAAACTACAAATGTTGATCACTGATTCTGATGAGTACATCTAGCTAAAATTTTAACTGCAGCACGCTATCATTTTACTGAAATCTGAGGCATGCATCCTACAAGTGATAGCAACATAAAGTCTCAAATTTTTGTAACTAGCATTTTTAATTTTAGAATTGTAGCCATGATCACTTAAATACTTCTAAAAATTCAGCCTAGAATGACAAAAAGCTGCATGTGTGCTCATAGCACTGCCCTCACTTCTCGCTGCTGCTGCTTGAAACAGGAAGAGTTCAGGGGGAAAATGGGGCAGCAAGGTACAAGAAAGCACAAGAGACCCACCCCACCACCACCCACACTAAGGAGAATCAGGCAGCCTGGTTCTTCTGTTTCACTTCTAGCATAAAGGAAAAAAATTGATGACAGATCTAAATATAGTACAAAGCTTTCCAATAAGATGGGGGAATGAAGACAAGCACAAGAGATTCTCTTATATTAATGAAAAGCAACTATTGTGCTGTTCCTATTGTACTTGGTCAGCAGGAGTCTGATTCCTAGCACTGCCAGCCAAGCTAGTATATCATAGTGGCCAAGTCAGAATTTGTCCTTGGTCGACGAAGACAGTGGTGATGGGATGTTTTAGAAAACCTATAGATTCTGGGATACAGGTAGAAGAGATCACTCCAACTACCCAGGTGCACACTTTCATTTTTGGATAACTCTATGCGAATACTGTAGGGCTCATAGTAGTTTGTGGTTTGCTCACTTCTGCTATAAGGCAAGTAGCATAACTTGGTAAGAACTCTACCTTCTAGTAGGCTTAGCACTATATATAACATTGGAGCAAAAGACCAATGCTGTATATTGTTCCTACATTCAGATTTCAAGCAGCAATCAGTAACACATGGAAGATTTTGTACATGCATCTTAACATCCCTAGCTGTATTGTCCTTAGCTCTTCCACTTGAAAAGACCAATGATGACAGGATTGCAGTTTAGTCAAAGGCAAACTTTAGAGGATGGAAAACTGAACTATTTACTTGCAATTCATAGTAGAATTATACACTTGGTTTTGTCAGGGAATTTCAGGCATTGGAAATACTAAATAAACATTAGTATAACAATTTGCAAATAAACAAAATACCACAAAGTGCACTGAGGCACTGCAGCCAGGGAGAATTCTCAACAGGTGCCAGATGACAAAACTGATTCAGCAATAAAGAATTTGTCAGGAATGCTACAGTAACAGTGTTATGTTCTACGAACCAGCACAGATTTATTGCAGCATTTCCATGCACCACAGCAATTAACAGCATCTGGTCCTTTAGGAAAAGAGGGTTTCTGCAGACCCAAAGTTCAGTAGTTTAATACAGGGCATGTAAATGCTAGAGGTTTGCTGCACCTTTAAATTAGACATGCATTAACTGGGACAGATAAGAGCAGCACTGACCAACTCATTCCTTTTGATGTTTGAAAGGATGTGTCAGTTGAAAGGAATAAATGTTTGTTGCTATTCCCAGATTATTAGGAAAATTTTACCTTGACAGAAAAATGAGTATTGGCAAGTAGTACAGACCACAGCACAAGCAGCGAAGTTGTAAACAAGTCAGCCTGTCCACTGCAGAAAATGCTGGTCTCTAGAGCTTTCCGACTGGTAAAGTGCAGGATAACACAGCTTTTACTTGTGGTAACTTTTCTGACACCTCCTGCTTAAAACCCAAAAAGTCAGAACAGCTTTTACTGTAGTTGCCATTTGGGAACTCCCAAGAATCTTCTCACCAGCCCTCCCCAACTCCTAAGGCTTGTCCTGGTAGACAGGCTCAGAATGAAGCATTATTCAATCATTCTGGACCTTATAAATTTGAGTTTAGGGAATACAGACTCCAAAATCTGACAGGAATACAAGGGGGCACCTTTACTGTTTGAAATGGCACTTGCTTATACTGTAATTTTAAGCACAATGAAGCCCATTACCTCAACTTTGCTTCCTGGATCATGAGCAGCAGCAGCAAAGTAGACCACCTCCTGTACTTCTTCTCGAGGCCGTGCAGAATTTTTTCCAAACACAACAAGCCCATCTTTAGTGCGTGGTGGAAAAGCAACAAAACAATAACTGGGAGGAGCCACAGCCATCCTAAAAAAGTGAAGGGAAAAGGGTAATGCAAGTCTGACTAGTATTTCAACAAACTTTCAAAAATCATTAAATATGTAGCTAGAGCTGGAGAACAAGTATTTCATCTTATTCCCTTGTCATGTCAGTTAAGTGCAGTTAGTGAAAGAGAAACAGATCAGGTCAGCTTAGTCTTATCTGGGGTTCGATAAACACAATTAAATTACAGTGAGCTACAGACTTCCCATACACATCTGTGAAGGCAGAGGTGTAAGGAGCAGGGGAGAAGAGAAGGTGATTGTGCCTTGGTAATAAGACCAGTCAGCCTCTGAAGAAGGAAGATATTAAACAACTCTGATGCAGAGTAACACTTGACCTAGAAGCATTCTGCTGACTCAGAAATAGGCACTGCACCAGAGCAGAGAAATGCAGAAGAATGTTAAATATTCTACTGTAGTCGTCTTCTTCTAATGCAGTTAAAAAAAAAAAGACGAGTAATCTCTCAAATGGTATAATGGTATAACTGGAACTAGGACTAAAATATACATAAAGCGCAAGTGGTAGCGGAGGCTGCCTGTCAGTTTAACTACCTATCCAAAAAGAAGAGTTATAATAGTAACTGCTAAGTGATTGAACCTGGTTTTCTTCTATTGTGTGTCTGGAGATTTTTAAACCTCATGTTAACTGATTGCCAGTTTGTAAAGGCTAGTCTGGAAAGTCCTCCAATGCTTTTATCAGGATACAAATGTTCAAAGTGTCCAAACTGCCAGTTAATATATTTATGCAGGTTAACCCGCTAACTTGAGGCAAAACACATCCTACTGTAGACAAACTACTGGATGACTAGTCCGTCAAACAATCATGGTTTGTCTTTAAGCACAGAAACTTCATCTATCAGATGTAAATTCAAAAGAAAATTATTCAAGACACAGTACAAACAGTACAAGCATCCCTAAAAGGAAAGGTGTTACAGTGTAAGACATTTGGGGAAAAAATGCAACTGTTTACTTTGGTACTTCTATAGCTCATCACTATGGTATCAGAGTACCTCCCAAATTAATAAAAACGAGAACTGCCCCTTCTCTGTCTGCAGGAGTCACTTGAAAAGTAGCAGATTTAATCGAAACCATATGATCAAAAAGTTCCCAACAACGATTGCTTAAGTTATAGCAATGACTCTCTCAAATATGTGGTACTCTATTACAAAGCTGCCTTTGGTCATTGACTTATATAATATCTGAAAACTTTAAACATAATGCACTCCATACAATTCAATACTTGAAACAAACATTTTTAAAACTATAAATAGAACTGAGCAAACAGATTTTTATTTTATTTTATTAGGTGGCTAACCTGAAATCCAGAAACAATTTTGTTTCTTCTTCACCAACATAAAAAAAATCCAAAGATTTCATTTTGAGTTTAAAAAAAAAAACATGTTTAGTTTTTGGTGGGGTTTGGAGTTTTTTTTTTTTGCTTAAAACTAAATTTCTAACCAAAAGACCTTGAAACAAAGATGAAACATTTCAAAAACATTGGAATGAAATGTTTTGGCTTAAAAAAAAAGATTCTTTTTTTCCTGCTGAAACTATTTGCCAAATTCAACCCACATTCCAAAAATTACCTGATTTTAGGGCAGAGATCATTCAACTCTTCCTGCTGGACGATGAGTCATATTGTCACTAGTAGGTTAGGGTCACAGAGACAAGAGGTGGTATTGGAGCATTACAGTGCTGACAGGTCTCTCTCACATACTATCCCTGACTTATAGCCTACCTATTGGCTTGGCTCACCTAAATAGCATGCAACATTCAAAAAGCAGATATTGGACATTCTGCAAAATGCTAAAGCCCCTTTCGGCATAAGCAATTTTCTCAACAGTGAGGTTTTTGGCACAGTAAGGACAAACTGTACTTATTTTGCTCACACTTTGAAAGCTGATACAGTTTCAACCAGCCTCAAATTAAGCTCTATATTCTGTAGTTCTGATTTCATTCACTTCAGCAAGTGCTTATTCCCTTTTGAAATGTATCTATAGTATTTTCCTGATTCTACAGTAAGTTGTATGATCCACCTTGTAATCACAGCCAATTTTACTGGAACCAATCTTCCAGTATGCCAAGTACAAAGTTTTGAGTGCTAGTGTTTGCGTCGAGACCTTTACATACCACATTTGTTGAACATGTATCTCTAACGGTGCTCCTGCATGTCCATTATAACGTCCAACGTGGGAAATAGCTTTCCCACAGCAGACATCACTGCAACTGACAGGACAGTAAAAACAGAATCTCTAGTGCTCTGGATTTTTTTAACTATCTTACAATCTTCCCCATTGTTGGTGTTCTGTTTGCCCCAATGCAGATATGTGTATGAAGTAAACAGCAGAGAAATATTGCAACCTAAAATAAAGCCCTTCACTTGATATACTGGCAATCTGGTTGGCAAAACTGATTAATATTCTCCTTACTTTTTTCTTCTATAAATATACTTAAGAGCCTGACACTAAACTCTTGTTCTATGCATACATATATGGATGGGAGCACATACAGTCTGTTGGGTAGGAGTTTTGCCTAGAATCCTAAATGCCTCATTCAAACATGCATCACTGACTCTGCAATATCTACCCCCTTCAGTTTGTTCAGAATGCTACTGCTAAACTCCAACTTCTTTGCCCATCTGGCTGATCACGTAACAACCTTCTCTGAATGCCTCCATTGACTTATCATTTCAGCTTCTCACAACCTTCAAAGCTCTACATACTGTTTATATCTAGTTAAGTTCTGCGATGAACCTCCCCCGTCTTTCTACCAGTGCTCTCAGCCTCCTCAGTTTATCAGATTCTCACAATCACCTCCATGCCTTCTTCCATGCATATTATGTCCTCCCGGAGCTCATCTTCAAGGTCTCTACTCTGTTCATATTTAAGTCTTAAAGACCCGCTTCTGTCATACTGCCTGTACTGAATTCAGTAGGCTTGTATATACAGTTATCTATTGTCCCTCCTTCCCTAACCTGTACTTGTCATCCTTAGATGGTCCTCTGAGCAGGGATTGTTCTTAAGTCTTTGGAAAGACTAGCACATAGCATGTACTACTGTAAATACACGTAGAAGAATGTCTCTTGCTATATTGTCACAACTACAGAGGCATATTTTGTGTTACTTCAACATTTTCTAGCTCACAAGCCCATATTCTCATACATATACTCTTCATACATAAACTGTATGGTGCTCCCGTGTGGATGCTTCTATTTAACCAAAGAAACTCCCCATGACTGTGCTAACTTAAACTTGCACTACATGATCACTGGCACTGTCCTAACCTTTCTCTGAAACACAGTGCTTAGATGCAGCAATTCTTGGAAACCAGCATAGGCAGATGTGATAGCAGCCAATGGTTTTTGTTCATTAAACATAGGTAATTGCTGGTTTTCAATATTGTGAAATAGACATCACACCATTAAGAGTTAAACAGAGGTACCTACTGTCCAATTTAAGGTTAAAAATCCTTATTTTCAGCCAGTGTGAATTATTCATAACAATGGAACTACACAGATGGACAACAGCTGTGGAGCTGGCCCTGTACCAGTAGGTTTTAACTTCCCCACATTCTTTGTGTGAGCAGTTAAGTAGTTCCAGGTAGGTTATTTGTGAAAGATTGATAATACACTGGTTTGATGTAGATCAGAATAGACAGCAAGAAAGTCAGAAAACAATCCAATTCTGCAGTGATATCTGAAGTGACAACTCACAGGTAATTAATATCATTTGACTGATCTCACTCATCAAGTGCAGTTTGATAAAAATTAATTATAAAGGGAACTTGGCTTTATATGCTGTTACCTTTGTATTTCTTTAGTTGTCTTCTGGTTACCATGGCAGTCTACTTAATGTGTGCCTGTACAATATGAAGAACCTTTGATTTAACGTATTCCTTTATTTTCCAGTATAATCTCTCATTGTGATAAATTTCATTTAAAGATCGCAGAATTAAACTCAGTTTGACAAAGTCACCATTAGGAGCTAATCTGCGTAATACTTTGTTGCAGAAAGAAGATATAGAACAGAATGTCTTAGAGCCCAAACAACAGACTGGATGTCCCACTGTGAAACATCAGCTATGACCTACATTAGAGTTTTAGAAGCCACGAGTCTGAACAACAGGATCAAGTTTTTGAGTCAGCCTGTGCCATATTTTTAACCTAAAACTATGTCAAGGCAGATATGGATTACAAATCTAGAAATTTTACATTTTAAAGTTGAGATTTTACATCTATCAGGGCTACAATCTTTGGTTTATGTAGATATTTGCACTGGTTTCATTTCCATGATATAAGTGCCTTACAAATTCTAAGTTATAGTAAGAAGGATATTAAGTTCCCATTAGACTCTCTCATGTATTTATCCACATAGGATTAAGTTCTCAAAGCGAAATATGGGGAACACAGCTGCCATTATTGTTCACTGAGTCTGTGCAGGGGAGGGTAGTGACACAGGTGAGACACCACAGCCATCTAAATAAATCTAAGTGCTGCATGTGCTGTTCCTGGTTTTGGTTTTTATAACCAGTGCTGTCACAGATGTACAGGATAGATTGCAGTATCCTGCAGGACATCCCATCTTTAATAGGCTCACTCCATCGTGCAGAATCTCTGGACTCGTCAACACTGTGTATACATGCATATACCCCTTTATTTTCATATTTTAAAAAGCCAAAGACACTGAAATATCCTCCATGTATTTCCCATTTTAAGTGCCAACATTTCTTTAACTGAAGTAGAACGGTGAATGGAGAGGAAAGGTGAATGGAGAAGAGGAGACGTCTCCATTTTTTTTTAAATGGACAACTATATTTGATATTGGGACAGAGGTAAAGACTCCTAAAAATGGAATGAGAGACTTAAATTATCTATGAGTTTTAAAAGAGAGAGATTTCAAGGCCAGAATGTATCATTAGATCATCTATTCTGACCTCCCGTAGATCTCAGGCAATTAACTTTACCCAGTTACCCCTGTAACTTGACTA